TGGAAGCCTTCACCCTTTTTACTGCAATTGTCAGTGCACTGAAAGAGCAATTGAAATTATTAGATATTCCTTCGGTTCCTCACAGATCTAATACAACATAATCTTGTTCATCTTGGATAATCACATCAAGTCATTAGCTTGCTGATAATTCACCTCGCACCAAGTGCCGTGACTTGGCAAAGAACAAGCTAAGCTCTTCAGCTGGCCAAATCCTGAGCATCTCCTGACCAGCTGCTGCCCACCACACAGGTCCCCTGCAGGCAGCCAGGGGTGGGCTGCCTCAGCTCCATTTTACAGCAGGGACAATCATGCTGCTCCCTGCATGATGAAAGAAAGAAGAAAGAAAAAAGAAAAAAAAAAAAGGCATCATCATAAATGACCTAACGGTTTTAAAAACTTGCCCTATCAGGAATAGGGGTATCTCAGAAATATTTTAATTAAATAAGCTCTGAATTACACTAGGCACTCTACACAAATAACTGGCCAAATGTATCAATTTTCACACCAGTCCGACTGTGCATGTGGCTTGCAGAGGATGCAAAATCTTGCTTTTAAACAAGCTTGTTGAAATTCAGCAGTTTTGCCAATTTGCTAAAATGGAGCTCAGCTATGCAAAGCAGCAGAAGTCCCAGAAAATCAGATGTACCTGACAGAGTAGGAGGTGTAGAGGAGCTAGATTGTAAGTGCTTGAAATGCCTCCTTGTTTTGAGCCTGCAAAACTCAGCTGGACACTTCCCAGATACAGGCTTGTAGAAAACTTCCATAGAAGTAGCTTTTAAGAAGTGCTTATATAGGATTTCATCCTTTCTGGCACCTAAGAAAACCTGGATTAAAGCTGCACTCAGCAATCTAAGTAGCAGAACCAGCATGATTCCAAATTCTCTAGAATGACTGCACCAAGCCCCAGCCAGGTAGCACTGGCTGCACTGGAGACATGCCAGGAGCACAGAGACAGAGAGCAAAACATTTGCATATATTTACATCTTGACAACATAAAAATTATACAGTTATCATTGTCATTTGGGGCCCCATGTGCTCAGCCATTCTGGAAAAAAATTTAAAAAAAGAAAAGAAAGATGCTCTGCAGCTAGCTCAGGCACTTTAAACTGAAATCTTCAACATCTTATAGTCCTCATGGTTGGGAAGATGCCTCAGTTGGGCTCCTGGTCTCCAATACTGTAACACCCTCTTTGTAACTCACAGACGTACCACCTGTCCCAGATCCCAGACCACTCTCATGAGCCCCTATCTGAATTACTCAAGCTTTGCCCATGACCGGTGCAGAGCAGAAGAGCACTGTGGCCTCTGGGCTGCTGCTTCCCAGGAAAGCCTGGGCAAGGAAGGTCCCCTGGGCTCACACCAACAGGGCAGGCTGGCTGCAGCTTTAATGACAATTTAATTACTGCTGAGCTTGGGACATTTTGATGCTCAGGTGCCCACAGGTAATTATGTGGACTTACAGATCTGTTTCTCACACCTTGCATCCAGAGGAACCAAGAAGCATTTTGAAGGCCAACATACCCGTGCAGTTTAGGGCATGAAGCAACATGGACCGGGTCACCCTGTTTTGGGATGAGGAGGAGAAGGGGTTCAGTTGTACAAACACAAGACCAACCACTTGCCAGGAAAACAAGCCCTGGCCTATTGTATTTATTAATACTGACGTGGCCATTGGTGCTCTGCAGGAAAGCCAGAAGATGTAGGCTTTGGAGGAAAGCTGCAGCAAATGCTCACAAAATTGCTGTCCAAGTACGTCCCTGACATGACTAAATGTCCCGTCCCGTTCCATCAAGTCCTCTCAGAGCCAGGGATTTGCACGAAGACACAGAGCAAGACAGGGCCTGTGTCACCACCAAGCCCAGCCAGTGCAGGCAGGAAAAGCAGGAAGGCAGAGGCAGCAAGCTGAGCACCTCCCCTTCCCTCCTAGTCCCTGAGTTACAAGAATCCAGGAAATTCTCCAACATCCTCCTGCTTCTGGACAGAAATCCTCCCTCTGACCAGCACCATGAGGATGGCCATGCCACCACCAGCTCTTCAGCAAGGGGGAAGAAGGGGATGGCATCCCTGTCCTGCAACACCAACTCTCTGATAAAGTCCCTTTCAACCCCGATCCACAAAAGGGACCAGATTTGGGCTTAATATATACATCTTGCTCTGGCGAAGCCATTCCGCCCACAGCTGTTGTTCTGCTTTGCTCTCTGGAGAGTGGCACCACAGCAGCAGAGCCCAGCCAGAGCAGGAATCTCAGGAATGCTGGCTATGCCGTGTCCTCCTCTTTTCCCCCAAAGGGTCAGGTCTGTATCTAAACAGGAAGCCGGGATTAGCCAGGCCCACGTGGAGCACTTGCCCTCTGAGAACCGACTGCCAGGGAGGAGAGGGAAGGCATCACTGCAGAAACTGCTGCTGCTCATGGCCCTGCCCCTCCCTGCTCCCAGCCCAGTGCAAGCAATTACAGGGGGCTTCCAGGGCACTCACTCCCTCAGCACCCCCACTGTGGACAAGGTGCTTCCTCACTTCTCTGCAGGATCTTTTTTTTTGACATTTAGTAAATAGAGTCAAAGCCCAGCGAGCAGCCAGAGCGAAGGCAGCACTGAGAAATGGGAGTTGCAGTGGTGGGGGCAGGGGGTGGTGGTGAAGGTCCCTCTCCTTTATCAGCAGCAACTAACTCAGAACGGACTGGGACACAGCACTTTTTTCCCCCTAAACCAGGGACTGCATTAAAAACCATACAAACCTCAGGGTCAGCAGCTGCTTCACACACCACACAGAATCACTGCAGCTTGCACTTGAAAATCTCCCATCACTTGCTTTCTGTGCCTAAATAAGCTTTTTCTTCCTCTGGTTTCCCCGTGCCAATATTTTTGGATTACTTTATTCCTAATAAATAGAATAGGTAGAACACAACTACCCTTCTGCTTTAAGAAGGACACACATTCCTTGACCTCCAGCCAAATTCAGCCTTCGCCACCCAGCCAACAAACACCCTTGCAGCACTGTGGTAACATCTTGCTGCTAAGTGCAAGGCCAGTGCAAACCATGGGAAACCAGGGAAAGGCTATATGCATAAACTCCTATCAAACAAACCACCCTGGCATCCTCTTCGCAAACAGCATCCCGCAACAAACAAGCAGACATTAGAAGTGTCTCTGGCAGATCTGATCTGCAAAATCATGGCCTTCCGATGACCTGCATCTCTCCTGTGTTACACTAGATCAAGGAAGCCTGACACGTTTCAAGAACATCATTCACCATGAGAAATCATTATTTTACCCTACTTTGTGTCCTTTCCCTACCATTCAGACTTTTATCTTTGAATTTTCTAGGCTATGCTTCAGTTTATTTGTATTGGTCAATAAGGATTTTTTGGTGTGGGGTGTTTTTTTTTTTTTCCTTAGGATTTGTTTAAGCCCTCGAAGTTGTGCCAATCCTCCCATACAGATACAGATTTATGTGATTTTGGGGCTGGAGCTGCATTCTTTCAAAAGCCTTATCTTGAAAGGCTGCAGAAGAAACAGCTGTTTATAAGAGCTCTTGATGGTTTAACAGCTGTCCTGTCCCAAGCCTCATTTGGAACCAAGGTGAGCAAACCTAATTACCATAAAGGACTTCCCAGCTTGTGCACCAGCCACAATATTAACCACCACCAAGAGGACAGGGCAGCAGGTAGGAAAATTGCTGAGAAAAGCCCACAAATTATTTACATGCTGAAAGTTTGAAACGGAAGAGCCTTGCAATCTGTGTCCTTGGGCTACGATACTCCTCTCCTCCTCTGGTGGTGAGAAAAGAGAAAATGAGATTATAGCAAGAATCCACAGGAAGGGCTGAGAGAGGAGCAGGGTGACAGTCGAGCCCTGGTAGGGCTGCTCAGCCACACAAGCAGGTGCTTATAGGATCCCACGAGGTGACCAGAAAGACAGCTCATCCATTACTCAACATCCCTGCAAGTGTCCACAGCTCCTTCCAGTCAAAAGTGATATTCCCAGGAAAGAGCCATCTCTGGTAGATAGGGCAGACCCCTTGCTGTGACCCACAGAGCAGACCAAGCCTGTGGCCACACCACCATGTACATCAGACCAAGGTCCAACCATGCCCAAAGGGCTGTCTTGTGCATCAGAGAGCAGTCAAACTCCTGCTGTTTTAAGCCAGGGAGCAGCGAGCTCACTGGGTGTGTGGTGTGCTCACCTACCAGCCCACCCTTGAACACCTTCCAGTTGTGCAGGTGACAGGCTAGGGAGCAGAGGGAAAGCTCCTCTCCTGGCTGTTGGCCAAGCATTATATGGTAAGAGTGCCCTGTATCCTGACTATATTTTGGGAAGCCAGATGACTTCATCAACAGCTGACATCCCCTGACCTACTTGCTGTGAAACAAGCTCTCTGCTGGCCAGCCCCAGAGCTCATTACTCAGCACTTTAATTTGCACATTGCCATTTACCAAGCACCAACCTGCTGGCATATTCAGGCAGCACCCAAATTTTCATGCAGCTGAAGCACTTACGCAAGCAGTAAAACACAAATGTACCTCTTCCACAAGTAGCTTCCTGTTACTTTTGAATCAGGACTGACACACAAGGAAATCCTCCAAGTTGCAGATAGTTTCCATCTGGTCCTGGCAGACCCACACCCTGCACCCAGCCTGCACCCCATCTTTGCCTCCACAGCACACACTACTGCACAGGACACAGCACCGTGAGCACAGAGACAGCCCTGCTGCTGCTCAGGCTGCAGCTGAGCCCAGCCACAGCTCAGGGGATGCCCAGCTACCACCGGGCACAGCCAGCACTGGGGATGCTCCAAATGTGACAGTGAGGCACATGAGGCTGGCAGGCATCATGCCCAGGTCGCACAGAGATCTCAGAGGAGAGAGGGATGGTGAAAAATACACAGTTATGAATAACCTGAAGGACAGGACTTAAGCAAGAGGAAGCTGTGAGCAGAGCCAGAGGAGCGGTGCCCCCGCCACCCCAACACAGAAGGGGAAGGAGCATCCTTGCCACACTCACCCTGATCCGCCGCATGGCTGTCACGATCTCCACCCGGCTGTTTGGCCGAGGCACATCCAGGCTCCCAATGTACTGGAAGGAAAAAAAGAGCAGATCAGTTGAGTTTCCATGGCGCTGGAAACCTCACAGTCCCACCATGGCTTCGATGGCATCCCTGGAGGGAATCCAGCATCACTTCTGGGGAATAGGAGGCATTTTGCCCACTGCACCTGAAGCCTTGCATGCCTCCCACCATGAAGCTGTTCCCTTACCACAATGTTTCAAGGATTCGGCAGCCCTTATTCTAACAATAAAACAGCTCTGGTAATCAGACCAGCAGGCCTCATTCACTTATGCCGTGATCAAAGTACGTAGGTCTAAGCCAATATCCCTTCAGCTGCACTGAGTCACCCATTACAGACCTGGATATTGGAATATCCCTAAAATAGCTGGGGCAACCTGTCCTGTGACAGGCCCTTCACTATTTAATTACAGCCCTGCCAAATCCTTGGCTGTTTTTGCAGTGATGCTGAGCCTCCAGGCCAAGCCTCCAGATTAAAGGAGTCACTTTGCTATTGAAAGGGGACCAAAGGCAGCGCCACTGTGACCCAGTGTAGAGACATGCTGAACAAAAACCTTTTTAAAAGTATAATAAAATGGAAGAGGGCACCTTCAGAAGAAGGATCAGAAAACAGACAAGTGATGAAGAGTCAATGCTGAGCACTAAAAACATGTAGTTAGAAGAAAAGCATTTTGAGCCTCTTTACTAGCCCACTGCACTCCCACGCTTCATCTCGACACAAGCGCTGACGTAACCCTCAGCAGCACAGTGCAGGCACTAAACCCAGCAGGGTTATGTGTTCCTGTGAATACGGCCACAACCTTTGCTGACACCATGAAAACCCAGGTCACTGGTTGCAAGTACCAGTGCTGAGACGGGTGCTTAAATGGCTGAACATGTGCTAGGGGTCACTGAACAGGCAGAGGCCATGGAGGGAGGCTATTTCTCACTCAGCATTGCTGCGAGACTCCTGGCTCCTCTCCACTGGGACACTGCTGCCAGCTCTATCAAGGGCACAGCGCAGGGGCTGCATGATCACCCCGAGTTTCGTATGTGCATGCCATCTCAGAGAGCCCTCCTTGCTAACCCTCCACACCCACACCCCAGACTCAACAGGTCCACCCGCTTGGGGAGGCCATCCCTGGCTGCACGCTCCTGCCCTGGGTGAAGACAGAGGCAGGCATCCAGGAAACGGCACTGGGCAGTCAGTCTGAGAGTAGATGTAAAAGGATGAGGATGTAAAAATAAACACCAAACAGCTGGCATGTTGGTCACATGCTGAACAGACTGCCACGGTGCAGGGCAGCTTTATGTAACTGGGAATTAAAGCCCACAATGCACGCCACCAGCAAAGGCAGCATTAACTGCCCAGGCTCCAACCTCTGAATGCCCAACTACAGAATCACAGGTCTTGGTAAGTTTTCAGTCCATTCTCTAAACAAAGCCTTTCCACCACTTCAAAGGTTCAGGTCAGTTAAGAGAGGCATCTTTGACATCAATCAATTCCCTTTTCTTTATATAAAGTCTGAAAACCATCAATAAAAAGTAGGAGATGAGGAGAAGGGCTGAGACAGCTGGAGCTCTGGGCACATGGTCACCCTGGAGCATGTAAGGAAGAAATCTTTCCTCATCTTTCCCTGGCAGGCAAACATCTCAGCTGCACAGCACCTCTCCCGCCAAGCATCCCCATGCTGCTCTTCTGTCAGTGACCCCCGGCACTGCTTCCCCCTCACCTGCAAGGGAGGCTTCTTAGATTACATGAGGAGAAGGACAGACTGGTGCAACCATCGGATGCCTATCTTCCATCTATTCCCAACAGCATGAGGTCACTGCCACTGGAGGGGCAATCGCTTTCCTTCTCCCTGTGTTTTCTTTCCCTAGGTGAGTGCAGAATACAGCCATGTGCAAGGACAGGGCAGGTGGTGGCAGCCATCAGCTGTGCAGGAGACAGACCCATTCACCACTGGCTCCCACAGCCACATGCATTCAAGCAATGCCAACCTCCTAGCTGTCAACCACAACCTCAGCCAGGAGCAACACTCAAGACATGCCCAGAATTGAATGTGTGAGCTCGTCAGGGCTGAGCTGCCCTGTAAGCAAGTGATGGAGCAGAAACCAGACACCACCTTGAATGGCCCTCCTGGGAAACAGCACCAGCAGTAGGAATATCTTGAGGCTGTCCGATCTACATCCCTTTATTCAGCTATTCCCCTCCAGCCCATGTTCACACATACCTGAACCAAAGGGCTCACGTCACAAACCATTCAGGATATGCTCCAGAGCATCCTGCCGCATCCCACGGAACCATGTCCCCAACACGGCCCACAGCACCTCCAGCCCCAGCGTGGGCTCATTTCACACAATTAGTGTTCACAGCTCCAAAACACCCACCTCTCTCCGGCTCTGGAGGCAGGTATTTTTCACATGTTTCACAAAACTCAACAGATGGACAAAGTCTCCCCAGATTATTTTTGCCTTCAGGGAAGAAATCACAGGTGGAAACTACACTGCAGAGGAGTAACCCTTCATAATGTGGTGAGTATCTCCCAAAAAATGTGGACTTGGAGGTCGGCCTTTCAGCTAAACTACCGTTTTCCAGACAAAGAGCAGGGATGGCCTCAAAAAGCACCCCTACGTACTAGTGATTTGCAGGCAAAAGGGTAGCTCCTGCTCTGGTCTCCTCCAGCCCTCTTATTCTCAGCACCGACTTTCATTTCAGGAAGAGGTGGGGGGAAAAGCAGGCAAAGCAGAGGTGAGGATCAGCAAAGCAGCTGGAGCCTCCAGGGTGCAGGACCCCCTCCTCATCCCACCCCAATGCTGAGACCCTGCTCCCCCCTCCCAGGACAGGAGCCCCAGGGACCTCCAAGCACGGGGCTTCCCAGACCTCAGGCACAGGCTTTTGCCTTCTTTTGAAAACCACGTGCCCCAAGTGAGGTGCTAGGCGTGGTGGTGGCTCTGGTCCCCACAGGGACCGATGTCCCAGCTCCCAGGGCTCAGGCCAGCATCCGTGCCAGCAGGTCGACTCCGCGGGAAAGGAAGGCGCCCGAAACAAAAGGAAGGAAAATAAAGCTGTGTGAAAGAGAGCTGACAAAGAAAATAAACCCATGAAAGAACCCGCCCTCCCCAAGCCCCTGGGAACCAAGGAGGAGGAGGAGGAAACCATATGCACATAAGCAGGATGCAGCTTTCCCAAATAATCACCTCCAGATCTGTGGTCCCACCTCTCTGCCAGGAGATGAGGGGAAGAAGTAGAGCCCCCCCACCTGCACCCAAGAGCCAGGTGGAATTAGGGAGTCGCCAGTCCCTGTGCTCTGAAGGCCAGGCGCACAGCTGGCTCGGTGGGGAGGGCAGTTGGAGGCAACCCCTCCTTCCCAGCCCAATTAGGAGAAAGGCCACCCGCTCAGAGCGCCAGTGAATGGGCAGCCAAGGGGGTCCCTCCTGTAATGAGGCACTCTGCCAGCCCTACAAAGGCAGCCCTTGCATTGCAAACGGCCGGAGACGCTCAGGGCTGCATCACACGGCGGCACGGGCAGGCAGGGACAAAGCACCTATTTTGCAGGGTGCTTTCAGCCCCCTTCGTGCCCCACTGCTCCTCATCCTCGTGCAGAAGGATCTGGCCTTCCATCAGTCCTTCCCGGGCCCCTGGAAAGGGCAGATCCTCCCCCTGCCATGGCACAGGCTTCGTGGACATCACCCATTAGGCTTCTCAGCACCCAAAGGGAGCTTGCTTGCTGTCCCCCTACCATGAAAACAGGCTTCCCTGTCTGTCCCAGGCATGGCTGGAAGAGGCCTCCAGACAGAGCCCATGCCCTCCATCCATGGCTTACAAAAGACCTGTCTGGTTCAGGGAAATACCAGTCCTACCCTGGCCAGAGGTAAAAAACCCAAGAAAACAAAGGAGAGCATTTTGCCAAAGCAACATTTGCCCAAGTCACTTAGTTTCTCATTTTTCCTTGAGATTGTTCAATATTGCTTGTTTTCTGCTCTATCAGAAATGAATTTTCTTGAAAGGGTGCTTTTTCTGTGACAGGTGGCAGATATTTTCAGAAAACTAAAGGCCAGTCACATCCCTGACAGGGGGACACCTTCCAAGGGGTGTGGATGAGATCTCTTGTGGGTGGAGGGCAGTGGTGGGCAGTGAAAGCCTTCCCAGAGAAGCTGACGCCTTCCTGAGGGAGGCATGCTGCTGCTCTGCCAGCCTGATACTGCATGCAAAGGTCAGGGCTGAATCATACCCAACTTACAGGGGACCCTAGATTGGCTGGCTGCCAGGTTTCCAGCTTCAAACGTCACCCTGAGTCAGAGAGCTTGCCATGGATGAGGAGCCACTGCTTTTGCCAAAAAGCTGCAGGCAGGCAGGCAGCAGGGGAGACACGCTAGCATGAGCCCCAGGCTGGGGCATCACACTGTGGGCTACATAGCCATCCCTGGGTCCAGGAGACCTTCATCCGAGCAGGGAGTCCTGCATCGGGGCTGGAGAGTAGTTACCAGAGGTACATGCAGCTGGGTGGGAGGCATCAAATATGGGGTGTGAAGGTCCCAAGACTTCAGAAGAGTCCAGGGTGGCATAAGGCTACACCAGGTACCGGGACATTGGCCCAGTGACACACAGCTGTGCCATGAAGTGAGGGCCAAAGTGCTCGGGCACTAGTCTCAGCCAGGCACCCTGAGGTCTGAAACCTCATTTCCACAGTTCCCAGGGAAACACTCAGCCTGGCTGATAAGGGTTTCTCCCTAGGCTGTCACCGTCAGGGAAAGCAAGGAGAAATCCAACTCCCAGGACTTTTGCTGTCCCAGTGCTCCTGCTCTCCAGTTCCCCACGCATAGCCTCTGCCTGGGAAGCCATGGAACTGGGCTGGCAGGGCCCCAGATCTGCCCTGTACCCCAGAACGCTCAGTTTCGCTTGAAGGAAAGAGGGGAAGTTTACTCAGACAGCGGTGGTGCAGGCTCAGAGGCCAAAAGGGATGGAAAAGTCGGGATGCCAGCTGACTCCAATGGAAAAAAGCCTTCGTTTTCCAGCCTGAGCCTGGCAGACGGGTGCAGCAGGCTCTTTGCTGAGCTGGAGGGCTCCAGCCTTGCCCAGGCCTCCCTCAACGGGGCTCTGCACCCTGC